ATATTATATATATATATATATATATATATATATATATATATATATATATATATATATACATATAGATGAAAATAGCTAGATGTCCGATACAAGTCAATAACATCTGGCAAATGGACTAATATAATTTAGTAATACTGCAATATATGTATATATGTATATATAGAGTGAGAGGGAGTGAGAGAGCAACACATGCTATTAACTGCTATCATCCATTAGCTTTAATATTACGTTCTTTATCTGTATGATTGCCGATATCAAACTGATCTGTCCCAACAGTAACAATAAATTTTTGCGCAAATATAAATTGCACGATGCATGCACGATATTGGTCGTTATTGTGCAATATCTAGCACTTTTGTAATCAATTATGATGTCAAGTTTATTGTTTTTCATCTTGCGCGTTTTAATACCCGGCTATTAGTAATCGAGATTGAAATCGCTTCGCCTTTAGAGGAATATCTATTCCGAGTATTAAACGGAAAATAAACGGAAAATATACAATCGACAAATTTCAGCCAGAATTAAAGCCAATTGAATATATTTATTAATTTTCGACGCTCAGCACGCGATTCATCTTACGTTTCCACCGAGTCATCCGGCGCAATTTAATTCGTGCAAATACATTGCTCGAAATATCCGCTTCGAACATTGCGCGTGAAAATAAAGGAAAAAATATGCAATCGGCGAATTTTCGCGACGGTTGCGGACCGTTCGATACATATACTCGTTCATTTTCCATGTTTGCCATGATTCATCTTCGCTTTTCACTGAGTCATCCAAACCACTTTGACGCGACAATTGATTTTTATCGGTACTCTTCGCATTTATATAACAGTTAGAATTTCGACAAGAGGGAAAAGGAAAGACAGGTTTGCCAGTTATTCAAAGATTTTCATCGTGAAAATCGACGTCAATCTCTATCGATTACCCCATCTGAATTGGGTTATTGCAGCGATTATTCGAAATCCTTTCACGGAAATCCGTATTACGAGTAACTAATCTATTAGATCTAATGGAGGAAAGGCAGCAAGAGAATATGGGGAAAAGCGAGACAACCGAGGACGATCATGAAATTGAACGAGACTGTGGAAAGGGACGGGTCGGGGAGGGAGGTTTTTGCAGAGAGGGGAGAAGCTCTTACAACAGATTTATATGTACGTTCGACAGGCTGGAGCTAGCCATTGCGAACCGTGTTCGCCAATGCGATAGTGTCCTCCTCTATCGTTGCACGATACCTCCGGTGAAGAGAAGAAGAAGAAGAAGGAAGGGGGAACGAACCGTTCTCCTTTTACCTTCGATAGAATTTGTCCGAGACCTTGATCGAGCCAGCCGTAGTTTCGACAAAGTTATTCGTAAGCCGGTTACGAGCGCGATCGTCCGCCTGCCCGCTACGTATCGTCGCGATAGCCGTCTAGAGGACGTCCCGATCCGCTGGTTCGACAGAGGAAAATAGAGAAGAAGTCGAGGATTCGGAAGGTAGAGAAGAAGAGCCGATGTTTGGCCCAGGCCGGAAAAGATACCGGGTAGGAACGAGGGACAGTTTCGTAGCAAGTTCAAGGCTGAAGCGGTGAGGAGGCTGGCAAGCTGGATCCGTGGGACGTGGACGAACCGAGTGTCGAGAGTGCGTGCTCGCCTGGATGAAGAGTTGCATTAAATGAGTGGACGATAGGAAGACACGAGCCTCACACGATAGACAGGTACATCGATTTTTACGATTTTCCCTTCGAGTCGATCTTTCGCACCGGGCTACCCTTGACAGGAAGTGGGCATTATGGGGAAAGAGGGATGGAATTGGTACTCGTGGCGGGAGGAAGTGGAAGAACGGAGTAATCGATCGGTGGAGTTGCATCGAAATTAACAAAGCCACGTTTAAAAGAGTATCGCAGACGGACGAAATGGTTTCCGTTCACCGGTGGAAGAGACACGTCTGTCTCGACGAGTTTTAATGGAAAGCTCGTTCTTGCAGGTAGCTCGAAAGAGAGGAAAGAGGTTTTCAAAGCGCAGAGAGATTGGACGTCTCTATATCGGATTCGCTTACTGCAGGCTTTAACTGTCACCTGATCTATCGCGGCCGAACGAAATTCGACAGGTGAGTGAGCGAAGCCGCGGGACAATTTGTCGGTAAATCGTGATCTAATAAAAGCTGGACGAAACGTTCGAGAAATGAATTGACCGTTTAGCCAAGAATGCGGCAACCGAGTCGGCCGTTCCACGAATAAATCAACCACGAATTACGGGCAAACACGCGTGTCTACTTACATACGCTTACGTTTCAATGTCGAATCTTCCGAAGCCGTTGCGTAACGATAAAACGGATCGCGATGTCTCCTTGCTTTCCGTTGAAAATATTCAAATATCGCGATACCGAATAGTAGAAACTGAACGTCAGCCGGAAATTTTCATTTTGGTAGCATGCCATGGTTTATATAATCTCGAGAAAGTAGTGCTCGGCCGTAGTACGCGATATTCCATCTTCATTTACTTAGACCGTTTCTATTCACCGGAGCTCGAATTATGCTAAAACACTCCTACAGTCCTACTCTTCAATTATTAAAACGGTGAACATGGAAAGACTCTTAATACGGTTAAATAAAGAAAAACAGAGAAAACAGCGGAGTCGTAAAAAGTTTCAGCAGCTACAAATAGGACTCGTAAACTCGATCGTTATATACACACACGTGGTTCCTTCTTTTCTCTTTTTTCCTCAAATTAAACTTTTTTAAGCTTCCAGCTATGTTCGGTGGAAAGAGCGCGAAAGCGTTTTACCTCGGGAAAAAAAAGGGAAAAAGGGAAGGAAAAAAGAAAAGGAAAAATAATAAAAAAAAAAAAAAAAAAAAAAAAAAAAAATGGAGGAAAACGAAAAAAGTGAAATAACGAGCGGCCGTTTCTTTTCTCCTTTTCTTTCGTTTTATCGGCCGACTAAACGAACCGATCGAATTGACAAAAATTCGCAATGAGCACGGCCACCACTTTCGTCGGCACTGTGACACGATATAATTTCCGTGAAACTGGCCGTGAAATCGAAATCGATTCGGCGCTCGTCGGCTGCTGCAAACCGGGAAACGAGGCCGCCGAATACAAAAGTCATTGACACGTTTCTGTACACACGATACGCTGCCAAACAGCGTTGACAGCTTTCGCAAGCAAAGTACTGTGCGAATCGTAGCCGGAGACAAGAGTTTCTTGAACTCTGTCGACATATTTTCGATTCGAAATGCCTCACGCGCAACGCGACCTATCGGTGAACGTTGCCACGAGTTACGAGAAAGAGACTATTGGAAGAGTATCGAGAACCACGACAGGCGATATGTAATTTTCGAATAAGCCAAACAAGTCCAAAATGCCGATGAAAACGTCGCTTTATCATCGCGTCATCCGTTTATCATTGTTTGAGAATGCTGATTAATTTCACGTATCTTTATCTCGCAGATAAGAAGCAAATATTTTCGACTACTCCCGAGTTCTAACGACCAACGAAATTCCGTTCGATCTTCTAATAAAAGAGGTACAGGTCCAAATCGATCGTTGCAATTTTATTAATTTTTCGTGAGAGGAAGAGAATGATTTACCATCCTCGATTCGTTTCCATAGACTCTAAAAAGTAAATTCTTCTCGTATTCTAATTCAAGAAGCACATCGTTTTCTGCGATCATTTTCTAATCGATTGCACGATCATGCGAGTCTTCCAACTATTACGACACGCTATTACTTAACACCAGAACTACCGATCTTTAACGGATAACCGAACATAGCGAACATGGATAGTAGTAAGTTTAGCGACACGATGTAGATAAGTAAATATATTAACTACAGTTCTATCTCGATGCCAGTCAATTTTTTTAAAAGCAGGTCTATGTTTTTAGTAATTGCGGAAAGAAAAATTCTGGGACTGTTTCGACTGTATCGGTAGTTCCAGTGTTAAAAGTTCGATAAAATAGACAAGGTTCGCTTCGATACTCGAATTGCTCCATAATTCTTCGTTTTCGAGTGTCGGTTAAATGAACGTTTCGGTCGTTAGTTCGGAGCGACGAGAATTCGAAACTTGCGATCGCATATAGATCGCACGAGTGTTTGTCAATGATCAGTTGCACGTGCACGTAACACTCCTCGAGAGCCGGCGCTTGATCGATCGATAACAGTGACATTCGCGATCGAAGCAGAACGAGATATCGAATTACGAAAATTATGGTAAGAGAATCGTATAATCATCCGAGGTTCGCGCGGAATGTCTCGAGATGTAGGAAATCGGTCTAGATCGGAGCGCAAGGTCGCGAGAAGTCGCTCGATCCACGAGTGTCTCGAGCGATAAAGCACCTCTCGTGTCAAAGGAAATAATTTTTCTCTTTTTTCTCATTTTTCCTCTGTTAATTTCATTGAACTCCGCGAGCATTGACAGACAGCGTCTCAATTTTTCAATATTAGAACGACGTTCTGGAGCACAAGTTGACGAAGTGATTCGCGCGGAACGATAAATCATTTAACTCGAGAAGAGGGTCAATCAATGGCGACGTGGCGGGCTGTATACAATAAAGCGTTCAAGATTAATTATCGCGAAAGAATCTCGCGGTAATTATCGGTTGTTACTTTGCCCCTGTAACGGTCATTATCTTTTCTAAAAATTCCTAGAGACTTATAAAGGGATCACGATCGAGCGGGCCATTGATCACTGCGATATATACGTATCAGCTTATAATCCCATAGAAAATTCTCTCGTTAATCTTTCTAAACCGCGCAGGGCAACTTTATCGCCTCCATTGTAACCGCCATACGTACACGATGATCCTAATCGAAAGATAGAGCGAGACGTGACGGTGATATTTTCGCGATTCGATTCGCACGATCGATAGGTTGGCACTTTTATTAAGATCTTTAACTACAGTCCCGATAACAATGGCGATTTGTTTGGGTACACTTACTCGATGGCGCAGTTCGATCGATTAACGCCGGATTAAAAAGAATGTTAATATCGTTGGGAAAATGATTAAATCAATTTCGGCGGAAACAGGCTATCGGGGTTTACGTTATCGGGATAATTTTATTCCACCTGGAGAGCTACGAAATTACGATTCACTTGGCCGGGGCGAATGGAAAAAACGGAATTAATAGGACGTTTTAATTCCAGAAATAATGTAGCCATTTTCAGGAACCTTTTTCAAACATTATGCATAATATTAACGTGGCTCGGCTTTCTTTCGCCGCTTTTATTTTTATTTATCGACCAAATGACCAACGGTGAATTAACATTTATCAAGCACTTCGCGTTGACAGAATCGGCGAAGAAAATAATTGGAAATTTATTTTCGAGCGCGCGCGTATTTATTGAATATTCGAAATAATTTGTTTACCGAGTGATAAAGCAATACGTCCCAGTTATGATTTATGGATGAACATTATTCATTTTCATTACCTGTAATGTGTTCCCACGCGTGCGCTTTTATATTCTACCTTTTAAACATAATTCGTCCGTCGCTGGCCGAAACTTCGTCAAGCGGCCGCATTTCGTCTCATTTTTCTCCCTTGTCGCCAGCCCAAAGATTTTCCGTCCCGAATTTTCATCTGTCGTTACGAGAAGCCCGCGAATAATTATAAACACGCGGAAGGGAGCAAGCGTATAATCAGGCTGGCTCACGAGCTCAACAACGTTCCGCTTTTTTTAGAACGGAATTAAAAATGCAACACGCAAGCAACGTATCATGCTTCAATTAAGGTGGACGCATCTCAAACCCGTCACAGCTTCGAAATGCGACCCTGCCAGAGACGCGAGCTGTTTCGAAATTACGAATATTCCTTTCTCGCGGAATGTTTCGCGTTTTCCCTTTGCGCAGAATTCCCGACGCGGCTCTCTTTTTGGCCGATTCGAAAAAAAAAAAAAAAAGAAAAAAGAAAAAAAAATAGTCGTCCGCTCCATCGCGTCCAAGCATTTAAAAAATAAACGGCCGACGCTTGACGACCCCGGAGATTCGGAGATCTGGGTCGGTTTATCCGGATTCTTTCCTCTAATTCCCAATTCTTTTTTTTTTTTCTTTTTCATCCGCGTAATTTGTTTGCGCGATAATTAAGTTCGTTACGAACGCGCGACCCCTGTGACCCCCTCGATTTTTTTTCTAAGCGCCATAACGAGCCGCCGAGTATTTGGACCAAACGGCGGAGAACGCTGGAGAGATCGGGCCGATCGATCAATCGACTCATTGACCTCCCTAATTGTTAATAACGAACAAAGCTTTCTTAATTCGGTGCTTAATCGTACGAGAGTGGCGAACAATTATCTATTCAAGTAGTAAAATCATCTCGTGACTAGCCAATCCCCTACGACTGTTTATTGGAGATTCTATTAAAAGATCGCCGCCTTTCTTGGTCCATCTCTTAATTAAAGCCTCTGTCTGCCAAGTGTAGATCGAAAAAGTCCGCACGGAGAGAGTAGATAAAATATTACTCATGATTACGAGGCAAGAGAACGCAAAATGGAGGTAGAACTTAATTACATAAAAAGGTCGCTGGAGTATGACAACAAGAATCGTCACTGATAAAACTTCACGGAAAGAGCGAGACTACGATAGGCTTATCTTTGTACAGGCGCCTCGGATGACGTCAGCACTCCTGAAGGTATTATCGATAAAGATTGCACGCGGACTTGACAGAATTTAGCCATCGAGACTCATCCACCCCCCACCGAATAGGAGTCAAAGTTCCTACCCTTATGGTAGCTCGTGAAATCGTATGGAGCGAATTCAACGTTACAGAAGTTTTCTGCCGACCGTGTTACAGATAAAGGAATAAGAAGAGGAGCAGACAATGTCCTCGGTACACAAAGACCATAGTTTGATCCTCCATTCTCTGGCATCCTGGTAACGTAATACTCGTGCCTAACAAGGATAACGATCCTGAATTTACCACGAGAATTCCGCTGCTACTTCTCAACGTTATCTTACATTACGTTACATTATGTTGCATTACATTACCGATTCAGCTGCAGGAAAGATTTGGCATTCTCTTTCACCGATGATACCAGCGAGGATAATATGGTTGAGCGGAGGGCGGCAGCAGGAGGGACGAAAGGAATATCTGAAATGAAAAACGCTCGTTAAGAAATTACGTTGGGGAACTTTCTTTGAAACGCTTTCTCCGGGATTAACAAAATCAGATATAAATCTCGGGACAGGAAGTTCGGAACTCGTTCGAGGCGCTGACAGCGCGGCGAACGATCGTAATAACGAGGAATAAATTTTCTTCCCGTCCGAACTTTCTTCGCCCTGGCCGAGTAATTAAGTTTTCGAGCAGCCGGCTAGGCGACCACTGTCACCGCCATCGACTCCAAAAACCCCGTTTCGGGAGGGAATTTTTCTATCAAAGGGTCGAGAAGGGGTGGCAAAGGCGGCGGTCTCGCGATATTCTTTAAAACTGGGCCGACACGGGTCAGCCGTTGTTTTGTTCTCTCTTCTTGTTTTCGATCGTACGTCGAGCAGTCTCGTAAAATCGGGTCTCGAAAAGGGTCAAACGCAGCCCGCGCTCCGGGCATTAATATTCGATAGGAGCCGAATCCGCAGACCGAGCCAAACTGCCGCCTCGAGCTGGCAAATTTACATTGGAAATCGGTCGGAACGCCTGAAACACTCGGGAAAAGAAGTTCTCCTTGGATACGGGGCGACGTGACGGAGCAATGCGTTTCGACGACATTACGGATACATGTTTCGGTTTACCCGGACAAATTACACGACCGACCGATGGAATCGGTCAACTCCTCCTCCTCTCTCTGCCTTCCACTTTCACGTAACGCGTTTTCCGCCCCGGCGCCGTACGTTCCCCGCGCCGAAACGAATGTTAATTAGAATACGTTAACCGGTCCGAGCGGTGCAGCGAAATCTTTTTATCTCGTACGTACGTTATTACTCGCGATTCCGCGTTATCGAAGTCGGCCAGGGAAACGCGATTCCGCAACAATGGAATACTCCGCGCTGTATTAATATTCTATAAGGGATCGGGTTCGTGAAATACCGGGAACCGGTGCAACGAAGCTCGTGAATTTACATTAGAGAACGAGCGAACGATGTAAAGAAAAAGCAAGGTGGAAAGCTCCGCGGGAATATATGTATATCGAGCGATGAGGTTAATGTCGGTGAGATATCAGCGGAAGTGAAACGAGAAATTTGATCTACGAACTCGGCGGAGGGTTTCGTTCATGGTACATCGTGTTGAAAATTGTCCTAACGTATTAGGAAAATACGATCGCGAGATGTACAGCGAAAGGGATCATGCTGCTCGCTGTGTTCCTATTCATCGAGGTTACGAGCGCGAAATGAGAAAATAACGCCAAAGACGAACGAGACGTTCCGAAATCTGTCAAAGCTGCGCGAGTCGGACATGAAAATCGGCCGAAATGCCGGAGGAAAAACGGTAATGCGAAATCTCGGTGTTAGTTTCGGAGCAAGGACGGTTGCATCGGAGTCTTTTTTCACGGGGTTGAAACGTGCGAAGGTACGTGTACATTTTCCTACCATTTTCAGATGATTTACAGCTTGCTCGGAATTCCTATTTTAATATCTCTACCCTGATACCCGGCTCGAGTAATTAAATTCCTATTAATTATTTATACGTTATAAAAAATCGGAATAACTGCAGCGCGTGTGATTAAACAAAATACGCGAGCATCCTTTTAATTTATTCCCGAAAGTGCCGGTACGTTGTTCCTTTTTTAAATCTCCCGTACGAATTTCACGACGATTGTCATTCCCCATGCGCGACAACGTGTGACCCGCATTCGCCATTGCTAGGCGCGCGTTTCGCGCTGTAATCTAATTTCTTTTGCGTAACTAAAATCGCTTAGGGACACTAACTTGGAAAATTGTAAGCGTAACGAATCGCTTCATCGTTCCGTGCATAGCCAGGCGGTCACGAAACAATAGTTTTCCCGCGTTTTCGCGTATTCTCCCTTCCTTTTTCCTGCTCCTTCCTTTCGCTTTAAATTACGGAAATGTTTACTATAATTGTCTCGTTACGGCATGATACCCCGCCGCTTTCTTTCCTTCTTTTTCATTCGTTAGGATGGCTGCTAGATTTCACGAAACGAAGCTGATTCCACGGATGTTTCTTCGCGTCCCAATTAGCCGGGGACGTGGTTCCAACGTGCATTTGACTGCGTGCGATTAAGTAATTGCCGGCGATAAGAAATTAGCATGGAACGAGCATTACGTTGCCCGATCCAGCCGGCAAAGTTAATCTTTAATTTATGCTAACCGTTATTACCTGCTGGACTAGCCTTTAATACTGCTCACGCAAAACTGTTCGCAAAATTGTTTCCAGGATGAAAGGATAATGCAACTACTGGCCAGAAGATAACGCGACCGTATGCGATGGCGAGAAATATTTAACGAAAAAGGTGGAAAAAGTGCGTAGCCTCGATAAATAAGCAAGTCCGATGTATCTATTGGTTCCCATCGTCTTCGATTTTTTCGCCCAATCTGAATAAAACGGCTTAACTCGCGTAAGTAATGCAGCGTTTATGCAGATAAATTCAAATCGCTTTATCGTTTATTCCGACACGATTTCACACACTCGCGTTTCGTATTAATTTAAATTAATGAATTAAAAGCATCTATAGATTATTTTCGTAATTACTCCCGCTTCTCTTCCTCTCGCTCTAACCGTCTCTCTCTCTCTCTCTCTCTCTTTCCCAATCTCATCGTTTCCATGTGATTCCGATGTTACATCTGTTTCGGTCTTTTCAACGCCAGTCACACTTTCCGCAATCTCTATGGAACTTCACCGATACTTGACCCATTCCATTGTGTTAAGTTTATCGAGGAGCAACTTACTAGTATTCCGAGAGATACGTACAGGAAGGATACAGATAACGAATTACAAAACAGAAAAGACGCGTGTTATGAAAATTTATTTTACTGATTTCGTTAATCCGCTCAGGCCTACATTATCGTGATACACCGTATAGTTCGATCGTATCGTATTCGGAAAGAAATTGCGGATAAAAGAACGATAAAGGAAGAATAGAAAAGAAGAGAAATATTCCCTGCGAGACGAGCTGAAAAACTTGCGAATTTTGACGACAAAATTCGTCCATTTTGCGGAATAAAATAGGTACTCCGGGTTTCTAAGGATGTAAACGACAAATAAAGAGAAAAATCGAAGGACTCGAAGACTTCCGCGGACCATTTGGCGGAAGAAAATATTTTCAAATGCGCCGTGGAAATTTCCAGGATGCCTCGACAGGCACTCCCGAATCTTGAAATCTGAAGAAAGGACCGAGGGAAGGAATATTTCCCCGGACATTCTGGTCGAGCGATTCGAAGGAATAATTTCGTGGTATATCGGCGAACGTCCGGCCAGGAACGATCTTGTTTATCCATATCGAGGACGAATTGAAATTGATAGAAAGGAAAGAAAGAACGAAGGGGGGCTATCTTCGAGGATTAGGTCCGTCGACTCGGCCGGCTATGACGCAAAGGAAAATATTGGCGGCGAGGTAGCCTGTATACGTCAACAAAAGCGGCAGCAGACTGCCGATCGACTTTCAGAGCTGTTTCCGTGTAAGCTTCGCGAAGGCCCCTTTGGGACACGAAGTGCACTCGAACGTCGATCTCTCTTTCGATTTATTCTGTCTCGAAATGTGTATAGTATACGTGCGCCCAACTCAGCCCCGCCCTCTACGCCTACGAGTGCCGTTCACTTGCGAGCTACTCGTCGGCGAAGAATTTTCCGAATTGTCGAATGCAAAGTATCAACGTTGTGGGGTGGGGGGGGGGGGGGGGGGGGGGCGGAAATCGGCTCCCTTCGATGGCCGATTTTGCCCAAGTGCACCGTGGGGGCGTGCACTTTCGCCGCTTTATTCGAAACATTGCATTCATTTCACCACCACGATTTCATTAACTACGAACGGTTCGTGGCTCTCGGGGATAATCTTTTGTTCGAGGTTTCGACTTTACCATTTCACTGTGTGCGTGTGTCCACGTGCACGCGGATTATGACTTATCTGGAAACAATATTCTCGACCGATATCTTTTTTTTTTTTTTTTTTTTTTGATTAGTTCGAATAAAGTTTCACGTGAAGTGTAATCGTTGTTCGCCGAGTAAAATTGCTGGCGATCAAAAAGGCAATTCGATGTCACCGTATCGCTGCGTCAGTGTGGCACAGGCAAACACAGAGTAACGAGGAATCACGAAAACGTACAATTATGAACTAGAAACTGAGAGTCGAAGCGAATCACAGAGGAAACGTGAGTAATAGTGAGATAAAGACGTGGAAAGTTTGGACGGAGGAAACACCCGGTTTCGCAACTTACAGCGATAAAACATATGCTTCCGTGAAACTATGAATTGAATGATAATAAAGTTGAAAATTGGAAGAAAAGGAAAGTAACGTGATATGGGAGATAACTATGATATTGAAAAATTGTGCAGAATAGAAAGGAATAATGGGAAAAAATAGATGGGCCATTATCTCCGAATAAGCCCATAATTCGTCTAGAAAAAAGATGGTGCCGGTCTACCGAGGACGTTACGAAACTGAACAGGACGAAAAAGAACATAATGCGATGAAATGAAAAAACCGCGGTATAATGAAACATTGCGTATCAAAACGATAACCATCACGTTATGGAACTCGTTAATGACGTCGCGTTGCCCCGCAATTTGCATGCAAATATCTCGATACGAGGCTGAGAAACCTCTTTCACTCTTCTACCTGAATAATTTCGCGTGAAATTTACGTCGGACCAACTCGGCAACTTTTAGGAAATATATTCTAATTGGAGACAATCGATTATTGCCAAGATTTCGTCTTAAACGACGTAAAAAGAATTTCTTTACACGAAGTCGTACAAATTTTTCTCTGGGCCCACGTTTCGTTACGCCCCTGGCTTAGACTCGTCTCATACGCCACCGCTTTTAGTTGCAATGGCATAAACAGAAAATGTTTACGTTCGTTGAAGGTACCTCGAAGGTGTATGGGCTCGATCGATTTTTCATTTAAGTCACCGTCCATGTGAAATTTCGCTAACTAAACGATATGTTCGTTGAAATTCAGACAAAATGTTGCAGATTCCTAGAACATGAGACCTTATCGTCTTTAATGCCTCGTGGTATGTTTCATCGAGGTCGTCGCGCTTCTGAGGTTAAGTTCGACTGATAGGTTCTGTGTCTTTCCACCAGAACCGAGCTTTTGCTTTTATGTTAGTACAAAGCAAACGTGTCGTTCGAAACTATGTCAACGTGGTTCTCAATTATTCTGTAATTGCGAAATTAATAGTGCTCGATATCCAACCGATAAAATACGGAATATTATCATGTCCGAACTACCGTGAATGACAAAACTGGCGAATAGGTATAGATTTTCCAATTGTATCAATGGCATGCATCCGACAAAGTGCCCGGCACTTTCTATGTCTTCCTTATTTTTTCCGCGTATTAAGCGGTCAAAGCCTTCAGAAGTTAAAAGATTCTCTCCTCGACCAGACGTGTATGATAGAATCTCTGAATGGTTTATTTAATCTAGTTGAAAACGTTTATAGTTAATACAGTAAAATGAAACTGTAATGATACATCAAAATAAGTAACCGATCATTTTCAACAACCAAACTGTCGATTCATTGTTACCTGTATGATTGCCTTATAATCAGTGCAAGTACGATGGAATATAATATTGTGGAAAATTTGTGGGCCAAGGAAATGTAGGGATTAAATTTCTGTTTCATTCGTTTCAGAAGTTCCAAAAAATGGCCTTGATATGGTATATTGGGATTATTGCGATCCTAGGTATGAAGAATCTTCTTGTAATATTCTATAATAAATCTTAGATATTCTTTTACTAATTTGTACTTAATAATTGTTAATATATCAGTTTTAGACAAAGCATGGGCAGATTTTAAAGTTTCAACACAAGATCTAACAGTTCACGTAGATGAACAAGAAGTGTTTGAGTTATACCTGACGTAAGTACCTCTGTGCAAAGAAATATTATCTAATAAGAAGAATATAATATGTTTATTGAACAAGCACAAAGACTTCATTGTTCACTGTGTAATCTGTGTATTATTTACTTGTGTTGCTCTTATGTCCAATTATTACTTTTGCTTTCTATCTCACATCTGTGTTAAAATATTTTTTTTTAAATATTATTGGTTGATTGTTATATTGTATTGTTTTTAAGAAAATTGTATACATAGAGCAATAACATTGATAACATTATATAGTGATAGTACTGAAAAATTATATATATTTCAAGCATTATCTTATAACTGTAGCAAATTAAGATAAACCTTTTTTATGTTCCTTGATATTTTATTTTAAAGTGCTTTTAATTAACTACAATATTAGTTGCAATGTTCAATTAAAAAATATAATAAATATTACTAATGATTAATCAATTGCTTTGTATAGGGAAAGCATATCGGATGCATTGGTAACAATAGAAGTTCAACATCCAGATCTAGTTTCTACTAATCCATCCAATTTCACTATTACTGAAAACAATACACAGCACACGTGGACTATAATTGCGAAGGGTCATAGTGCAGGACACTCTATTGTTAATATTAATGTGGATCCCAAAAATATCACAGAGTAAGTATATTAATTAAAATATTTTATTTTTTTATATCAAAAGATATTGTATGATAAAGTGTTTTTGAAATTAAATAAAAAAGTATACTGGACTTATTCTTCTTGATTTGCAAATAAAGATAAAGTTACATTGATTCACAAAAAACATAGATAAGAGTTAGAAGAAATTTCTTTGATATCAAATATAGTTAAGTTGGTGTTCAAGACTGAGACAACATTGATATTTATTTTTATAAGTTCCAAAATATTTTAATCATTACATTTGCTAGTATTCAGTGGTTTACAGAGATAGCCTCCTGACCTATACTTGTCATCGAATCCTCTACTGAAAGTTCAGTCAGTCTCTGCCCATCTGCCCTGACTAGAACATGATACACTAGCTATCAATAACAAATGTATTAATACATTTAAGTTCAAAATTTCTAATAAAACGTGATTCAGTGTTATTATTTCCACCAACTGACTGTATTTAGGTATTTATGTTGCAAAGTGTGTGTCAAATAAATTAAGATTTTAAAACCTGATACTAAAGAATAATGACACTTTTCAAGGTGCTTTTAATACCTCAGGATCAATTGAATAAAGTTGATTTAAAGTAAGACAAGAGTTATAAATTTATTAATGTTTATTTGTTAAATACTGCATCGCGATACTTGTGTTTAATTCATCATAATCCTAATTCTTTATATTTTTACAGTTTTTCACAAGCATTTGTCAGAGTGACAGTTGAAAAATCAGTCATACTTTACCACATAAGTGCTGTAGTAGGATGGATATACTTTTTAGCTTGGAGCGTAAGCTTCTATCCACAAATATATAGTAATTACAAACGAAAAAGTGTTGTAGGATTAAATTTTGATTATTTATCATTAAACATTGTTGGGTTTATTATGTATGCTCTTTTCAACTGTGGTCTGTTTTGGATACCAGAAGTTGAGGTATATTAATGATAGAAATAAATTTAACTAACACTTTCTTGAACCATAGTTTCATTTAAAATTATGTTTTTCAGCTCGAATATTTTAGAAGGTATCCAAAAGGATTAAATCCTGTACAAGTGAATGATATTTTTTTCGCTTTGCACGCAACATTTGCGACTGTGATAACTATTATTCAGTGCTTTATTTATGAGGTAATTAATTGAAATTTTTTGCAAATTAGTATACAGTTATTTTACGAAATTTTTCGAGATCTTTAACGGAGGTGTTTTTTTTTTTTCTTCTTTTTTAGACAGGAAATCAGAGGGTATCTATCACCGCACGTATTATTCACGGAATATTTGCCGTCTTTATCGTAATTTCCATGATATTAGCTATAGTGAAAACAATAACATGGCTCAACTTTTTGTATTATTGTAGTTACGTTAAATTAAGCATAACGTTAATTAAATATGTTCCACAAGCATATTATAATTATAAAAGAAAATCCACCGTTGGTTGGAGCATTGGTAATATATTTTTGGACTTCACTGGTGGTATTTTGTCAATGTTGCAGATGATACTTAACGCATACAATTACGGTAATGAATTAAACACATGAAAAATTAAACAATTTTTATTCCATCTCGATGGAAAGTGTTGATCTTTCTTCAATTAATTGTGTGTGTTTTTTTTTTTTTTTAGATGATTGGGAAAGTATTTTTGGAGATCCCACAAAATTTGGTTTAGGATTTTTTTCAGTCGCGTTTGATATATTTTTCATTATACAACATTATGTTCTATATAGGTATGTATATTTTTAATTTTTTCATGATCATAAATCATTTTACTACCAACAACTTCGTAGAAATATACGTAACGTTTACATCTTGAAATAAATTATTAACATCAATAACGTTGGAAACCATCGAAAAGTGTGTGTTGCTTGCACTAATGCATTATTAAATTATTAATAGAAATTCTATGTATTAGTTTGTATTAAAGGTAATTGCGTTTATTGCATGTACAGAGTAAGGCTATAACCTGCATGCATCAGAGATTCTATGTATTTAACATTCTATATTTAATTTCTTTGTAACAAATTTAAACTTTCTGCTCTTTAATATCTACACAAATGATTAATGACACTGATAATCAATATAGACAGACCATACATATATACCTACATATATAAGTACATAATATATAAGTATAAATATATATTGTATATATTATAATGTGTCAAATTTGATGAAAAATCTTTATTTGCACTATTTATTACTTTCTTAAATCAATTTAGTTTCTATAAGTATGTATGTGCTTTTCCTGGTATGAATCGTAGATATGAGGCAGCAAAAAATTTGTTTACAGATTTATCAGTGAAAAGATGATTGACCTCAAACAGAGAATATAAGCACCTCTCGTCATCAATTTTGTTTTCAAATCATCTCACAACCATCTCACATTTTTTTCTTTTAAGTTGCACGTGCTTGCAAAATCATAAATTCTTACAGAGTAGGTAACCAGAATGCAAGAAATAACGAAATACTGCATAAACAAGAGAATTCATATGACGAAGATTCGGGAACACTTACGAAAGATGTATGGTGTTGTGGTTTTCTAACTCAAAAATAGAAGTATAATAGGAATATAAATCCTACAAACTTCATTTCGGCAGAAATGAAAGTACAGCATTCAGTATTTTAAACGTCTTAATACATATCATTACTGTATAACAAAAGTTATACAAAAGTTACATTTCATTCAAAATTTTAAAATATGTTTATTCGAAATGAAATTATTTTTACTATTTTTTAATGTTTTAATGAATCTCAGTTGGTTGTTAATTATGCATAAATAAAAGCAAACATACTTTGGTTAATAGTTGTAATTATACTAATATATCAAACAATATTGCAAATATGAATGAGAGCGGTGGTGATATTGTAACGTTCAATAGTAGAAATTATTATTTCATTATAATTTTCTATTTTTCTTTACAAGCTATAGTTAATAGCTCAACCTTTCCCCAAATTGTTAAAAACCGCAATTGTTCATGTTTTTCCGTTTATATGAAGTTATAATAAAAATTGTCTGCATGTTCCTATGCACTTCAACCTAATTGTAAATACCAATATTTCAAAATTTTATTGTATTTCAAAATTAAACATTTTATATCATAATTTGTATTATGGTGCTGCAATATTTAGGCATGCAGCATGTATTGATAGTATCTTTATAATGAGGATAAATTATAATAAAGTCGTTGTGAGTTGTATTGGATAATAATTAAAAGAAAATGCCTTCTATATGTTCTACGATAATTTTCATTAAATTCTTATAAAACGAAACAATAAAACGTTCGGGCTCGATGATGCTTTGACATAAAAATTGCTTAAAAAATTCGGATACTATAGGAAGGTTAATGTTTAAATAAAGAATATGTAATAATTTGGAGTAAGTCAATTATTGCATGTGTGTGTATGCGCGCGCGATATGTGTGTGTGTGTATGCGTATGCGTGTATTGTACTGTATGAAAATTACTAACAGCACTAATTAAACTAACATTTTACAATGAGTGAGAACTGATCATATACTACCGAAGAAACGTGTATCATGAAAGTAGAATCACTCGCTAGACACAATTGCATTTTCTCTATTTACCCTTTTAATATAAAGAATAGTCATATACATATAGATTACTTTTCACAGGGAGCGTAGGCAATACGTTAAAATACCTGGTAGCAGTTATGGAGAAGACAAGAAATTGAACATTTGTTCTTAAATAACTATATACATATATACACACAATACATATCAAAATAAAAAATAATCTATTTATCTATAATTTACATTCAAGAACGAACGCTGACATTGCTACCAATCCTATGAGGTTCGATTTGAATACGTTAGATAAAATTTTATTCTTACCAAGTAATGTATGATGTATTCATCCATGAAAGTCCCATGTAATTGTATAACAAAAGAAATGTATGCACTTATTTGAAATCATCCGTAAAATCAAATAACTCACTTTTTACAACAAAATTATACACGTCCGACGCACTGCTTACGTGTAAGGCAAATTGTTAACTGCCCAATTCAAATACCTATCGATATCTCGATTCGATTCAATTCGATGAAGCAGTGCCATCTATTGGTCGAACGAAGTGACGTGATCTATATAGCCGGACGTGTCCTATAAAGTTATTAGTTTTCTTTACACAAAAAGTGAGGTAAGTTTATTTTGAATTTAATTGTAGAAATTTTTATAGGAAATTATAAAATATTATTATTAAATAATAGTTGCAAAAAGTAATATTAATAAAATCTATACAAAATTACGATTCACAAGAGAATCTTAACTTGAATATTGAATATAACCTCTTTGCATAAATATTAATTTGTGTAGATGTTTATATATTCTTACTTTTTTGTCAATCTATAATAAAGATATATGTTTAATAGTCTTTTAAATATATATTCATATTTCAGAATGAATATATTTTCATTTTTGCGACCAACACAGACTGCATTATTCATTCATAGGAATCTGAATTGTTGGACAGCGGCAATAACAAAAAAACACAGAAAAGTGTATTTAAATACATATCCTGTACACCTTGTTTTACCAGATGGTAGCTCTATAAACATTGATTATCATGAACCAAGGAGAATTATTACTCTCCCCATTGATATTACAATTCTTTCTGAGGAACAGCGTCAACTTAGATTGCAAAGACGTAAATCCATTCAGAAAGTGAAAATCGTTGATGAATACCAAGATGATTTCGATGAAACTCAGTTTTATTAATAATGGAGTTGTAATTATTACTGTTTAAGTAATATATATTTTGTATAGCTAGTATTATACTTTCAAGTATAATACTGTAATACTAATTATAATATATACAAGTTATGAAACAAATAATTATTTTATTTCTTTTCTTATATCTTTTGCTAGCTTGTTTATAATAATAAAAAACAATATTCTGTAATTTTCTATTATGTACATAGTAAACATAATGTAATAAAATTATAAATATACATCAAATTAATTGTATATGTCTCTCTACTATAATTGTTATCCACAGTTAGAAGATATAGTACTGACATATTTTGATGCATTACAGAAATAATTTCCCAGTGAAATGACCTTGATAAATTAATAATAGTATTATTCGCTATGCTCGTTTCATATTAATTTTGATATGTACCATGTACGGTTACAATTATTGATGACAAAGTGAAAGTTCTAGAAGAAACATTATTTAAGATGACTTCATTCGTTGACTATCAATAACAATGACTATCTCCTCATTGAATTTTCTCTGACTATCGCGTTTCAATATACCTTTTTCCAATGGTCTTTATGTTAATTGTGAGGAATTGAGAAAAAGTGTTGGATTTTTAGTGACGCAAGCAACGAAATAAAGAAAATAAAACTGCTTAAAAACATTCTGTAATAAAAATGGAACGGAATGCTTAGTTATAAAAAAGTTTGCTTTTATTCGTGTTTTATTACAAAACAAAAAAGAAAATAAAGAAAGCTAAATGCTTAAAGATATATAAGTATATACGTGTTAAGAATTAAACGAAAATCCTAAAATGGTAATGAAAGTGATAAAAGGAAAAGACAACTTCGTCTCGATCGCATTAATCGATTTTAGTTAGCGATTATTCGCGAAAGCGAGCTGCGATCCTTTCTATCGCGGGAAGGGGGAACTAAGAAGCCATTTTCGGTTTCAGTACGATGATATAATATTTGGTAATGTGTTGTTCGTATGTGACTGTGCGAATGCTTTCGATAGTAGTGAAACTCCTCTATTGCGACAACCGAAGAAAATTTTACGGCCTTTCTTAATCAGCGACATATAGCATACGAGCCAACCATAAGGTGTCAGAACGCTTTAAGAATTAAGTAGCAGCGGTTTGTTGTTCACCTAATGGTTATGTGCGTTCGGAAAATGATTTCGTTTCCTCGATTATTTCTCAAAATTTTATAACAATGGAAAAGATCGAAACAGAACAGTATCCAAGTTCAAATAATAGAATTTTATTATGGAATATAAAATGAAATGCAAAAGATCAGTTTTCGACTTAAATACTTTAAAGAAAGGAGTAATAAAGCCGTACGGATGTTCAATGAACTGACACGCGACGGAAAGGCAAAGTTGTCATCGATGATATCCTGAAGAGATCGCATGGAGGGAATAATCGGCATTGGGAGACACGGCGAGTAAACACCGTTCGCTTATGGCAGGCAAAGAGACATGGTAACACTCTGGTGGGAGTCAGTTCTGTTATAGTAGGCCACGAGGTAGCAGCTCTGCTGTTCCTGCAGGTGTAGCACGATCGTTCAAACTCTCTCTTAGTTTCTGCTGGCGCTCCAGGCTTCTCGTTTTGCCGGAGTGCGCCGCTCCGTGAAAACCGAGCTTCGAGATCGCCTCGAAAGCGATCCGGACAATGAAAACGCGAAATCCGTGCGGTATCGTATGATTATCGATAATCGAACGATCGGGCCACTTAAACCCTGGTGAATTGACATCGAATTACTCCAATTTGTACCCATTCGTTATACCGTTCGTCGAAAAACTAGACGACTGCGATTCGGACATCGATGATAAAATTGACATGAAACGGCGTCGTTATTATCGGCTATTTATCCACCAATAATGCGATTGCATTGCACAAGTGTTTGGGCTGTAGGCGATCGATAATCCAGGGGAACAACATTTTTGTCGATCAAGTGAATCGTCGTAAAATTACAAATTACGAGCGGTGCGCTCGATGATTGTTGGTCGCCTGAGCGTTTAAAGTGCGTCGTCTTTAGAAGGAGAAAGCAGGAGAAGTTGAAGAGTTCAGCCAGCTGAAAAAAAGAGCCTTTCTTTGACAATCACGATACGTCGAATTTAACCTCATGCACACTTTTTCCTCCGAGAGATCCGACTATTCTGTAACCACAGACAACCTGTTGGAAATGAAATTTGCTTAAAGTTCAAAGTGGAAAAAAAGTCGTAGAATGAGAATGAAATCCTGAGTTCGAGACAGAGCGTGTACATCGAACGACACGGGGAAATCGATAGAGAGAAACGCAAAACAGTATTGCTTCATTGATCGAGCAAGTCACGACAGCCTCGATCGATCGTCCACTTTTTTCGTCCAACGTCAAGCGTTTAACAGTTTCACCATTGTTTCTCGTTATTTTTCATTACCGAATGACGCAAATGAAAGAATGAAAGAACACTGACCCTTGCGCGTTCCGAAGTTTCTCTGCCGCGAACGGTGAACACGTGCTTTCATTGGATTTTCAAATCGGTACACGGACGATGGATTTTTGAGAAGAATTCGTCTTTCCAGCTCGTCCACAAACGTGAGATGATTAGCAAACTCCTGTTGAGTTTTTGGATACTCAGATGCATCAGCCTCTATGGTACGTTTCCTTCTGTTTTTATTCATCTTTAACCGTATCTTCTCGAGTAACTTTTAAATCCATATCGAAATTGTATCAAATTATATTGAACGAAAGACATTAATAATTAATAGACACCCGATAAATCAGGTACACACGAATGTTCGAGTAACTTACTCTTATGATCAATAAAGACTTTTCTTCATTCCTGCAGCGTACACCTCGTACATTCCGTTCTATGAACCGTTAACGAATCGGGGACAATTATTTAATCATGTAATCGGACGCTGAGGTCACCGATGGCGACGTCTTAAATTTTAAGCATGTTTCTTAACCAGTGTCTGCCCACTAAAAACTGTTTTCACTTGCCTCGACGAGTGAGTCTCCTCTCACTGTCTTTAATTTTTCCTCGTATCCGATTACAATTGTAACAGGCGTCCTCCATTTATGTCAGCAGCAAGTAGTACATCATTTGCATTTCCTGTCGAAAAATACAAATTTTTCGTTACATTTGTCATTGAAAATCGTAACACTAGGAAATTCCTGTGATTCTTAAAAGTTACCACGGTTCATCGCGACGTAGCAATAAAATTTAATTATCAAACAAGCTGCAAACGATGCTGTTCGTTCGTGTATAATGATCGATAATGTAGACACGTTATCCACGACAGAGATGAAAACTCGATCTAGGTATGAATTTCACGGACAACTCGCGAGCTAGTCGCAACACGTGTAGAAGTTATTTCAGAGTCAGTGAAAGCTATTCTGTCACGACAATGATATTATACGCTCGAGTCGCTCGCGTTTAATGCAAATTTCCTCGAAAAGTCGCGGTGAGTCGCACTCGAAATTCGCGAAGAAATTTCCCTGCGTTTCGACCATTTACAAGCGTCCACCGCGTCAAACACGCGACTCGAAAGTCGTCTCGGCAATGGGATCGTGAAATTTCGCAAAAATTCTACCACGAAACGAGGTCTGCGTTTTGTTCAGCGAACAAGAACCAGAAGGTATTTCGTACATATATTAAGGTTCTCAGTGTCGTAATACTTAATTGTAGCACACCTCAATCATAGTAAAAAAAGAAAACAAAGTTCGAGGAACTTTTTATTCGCGTGGACGGCATAATCAACCATATTTGTGTAACGTAAGGCTGCGTGAAACGCATACGTGTATGTACATAAATTTTGATTGTGCCCGTGACCGTGAAACTGGATCCAGTTACTTTCCTTGTCCTTAACAGCGTTGGTTTAACCATTGTCGTCCTATGATTTCCAAACAAATGTAGGACGAATTTCAAACGATCGTAGATTCGAAGCTACTCGATAAATACGTTACGTATTGTCGAAAACAAGGGAGAGTCGTCACAGTAATGAGGACAATCTCACGCCCTTGCGAGACTTCCTCTGCTAAATGCTTTCTTTTATAATTAATTCAACGTGTTTTCACGCAGAATCCACTCTACATATCAAAACAATGAAAATGATCCGAACGAATTTAATTTCGCAAACGCTTTCTTTTTCAGTAACAACCTACTTTCAAAGTGTGCACAAAGACGGTTTTTACATGGCGACGTGTTTCGGACACGAAATACTTCGCCACGATTTGTTGACATCGATACGCCTTCGTTCTCGATTCTCCACGATTCACGCGCGTCGTCGTTCCAAATTGTTATTACAGCTACCGTACGTCATGCCTAATTTCCTTGCCACAAGTGTCACGACGTCGCTTCTTGACACAAATCAGGTTTGTCAACTGACTCATGCCGGATCTGATCCTTCCGCGTTCAGAATTTCGCCATCTAACCATTTTCTACCGCAGTTGCTTCTCTCACAATCAACGAAGAAGGAACGTAAAATGGCACGTGTCGAATCAGTCAGCCATTTCGGTTCGGTTCGGACAGAGGACGAAATTTCGTGACCCACTCGTCGGCGATATAGTCGTAGGCGTCGGTGTCAAAATGATTCAGCAGTAGGTCATCAGGATATTAGGACATCTGTCGCTTTTAAATTTTACGGGAGAAGGAAAGTAGTCGATGTGCTACAAATTACATGAATTACGATACTCGATGCCTTCGATAGATTCCACATTTCAAAATTGTCTATTTGAATATTCACGTCTTACCATGAGAAATTAACGTATCCAAGGTAAACAGATAAAATTGGTATATCTTCCTCTATGAAACGGCAAATCACGTAGTTGAATACTTTCTGTATTTTCTGTAACTTATTATTCACCTGCGAATGAAAATGATCGATGAAAGTAAAGAGTATATCCAGGTAGGGAATATTATTATAGGATAATAAAATTATTAAATTAAATAGAAAGCTGCATACAGATGGTAGATTCGCAGATAGTGGTTAACCATGTAACCATCGAGGTGCAAAGTAATTTTGAAATACCGTTCCACAACCGGCCAGGGACGACGAATTGTTTCCCTTTTCCGTTGTTGCACGTTTACGATATAATTGCACGTTGTCTGGCTGTTTTCTGTCGGTGATTTCGGTGTCATCGCAGTCAACGGGGCGGAAATACGCCGCGTTGCGACAACAAAGAAACGAAGGAACAGGAAGAAAGAAGAATCTCGGGTCCAATTGCGATTACATCGTGAACGAGAACGGAACGTGAGAAGGCGATGATGCGAGCACGAGATCGCGCGACCAGACAATCGACGTCTAGAGCGTAATTTATTCCTCAAGGTTTCAACTTCTCTCGAGATCAATGACACTCTCATTATTCACCGAGCAACAAGATCAGTGGCTAAGCAACTAAATGTTCGTACATCTAAGGAATCTTGTACATCTTGTCATGGTCCTGATACACTCGAGCAATTAAATTTCATTCAGTGACGCAATGTTGAACAAGGTAGCCTGTAGGATCACATCCTTCTAGTGTAAATTTTCCTCAGGAATTATTTCTTTATCGTAGATTGTGAAATCCTGGCGAGGTCCGGGATCTATTAAAATTCATTGTTTCGTTTAACCAAGGACACGTTTTGTAAATTTATGTGAAAAAGCAGGAGGATTTCCTCTATATATTACCTGTTGTCTCATTTCTAAGAGTATCTTGAGCAATCTTGGTGTGATAATGAATCATAATAATGTCCGCGACTCTTCCGGGATAGTTGCGTGACTGGGAAAAACAGAGTTGATTGAATTCTGACAGGAAACTCGATGGAAGTTTGTCCCGAGCAACACGTCAACGATTGTATAATGTAACTTATTATCTCATCTGAAATATTAAAATTATTCCAGTTAATTATTTATTCCTTTTCATGCTCATCTCTGTTCGACATGATTGAAAGACAATCCGTAGATGATATACAGTTTCACAACGTCCATTATCTGATCAACGTGATAGAATTTAGATATTTCTATGTCAACAAACTCGGACATCGACGTTTCGTTCCACCCACGAGAAAAAAAGTAATCGGAGCAGCGGCTGTAACGTTTCCCGATCTCTCGATGCAAGTTAACATACTTTTGCCCGATGAATCGAGAGGAAACAAAACAAGGATGGTTGCCGAATGCAGACTCGAAGAGCAGATCGACGAGTTATAGTCGGATGGGTGTTCATGGCTGTCCGGGTTTTGCGTAGGCAGAGGCCGAGAATTTCTATGGTTGAAGTTAGCTGATACTTTCTCCGGCGTCCGTTTCCTTTTTCCACTCTCTTCGCGTATCCTCTTCGCAATCAGCCGATACTTCCAAATGGACAATTAACCTTCGTACGGCCATTTATCTTGGATAATGATTTCTCGATGATCGTTTTATGTCTCTTCTTTTGGGAACATTTTTAAACGTCTGAATAGATTGATGTGCGTCCAATTTAGATATTAACGTTCGAATTTTGATTAAAGCATCGCATACTGATAAACTAACCTACTCGTTATAATAATAGTTGAAAATGGGAAAGAAGAAACATTTTGAAGTAGTACTTTCACTAATCGTGAGTCTACTTTCGTACAAATATTTCAGACGTTTCAGACGTCGCTTCAAAGTGAAGCATCACTTTACCACATACCGAAACGTTCAAATGAAACGTTAAACAAATAGAGAAGTTATTATCGAAAGCGTAATACTTAAACCGCACCCTCTTCCAATTATCGTATACGGTATCTGTTGAAAATTTAATTTTCATATCTTTTATTGCCGTTCACCGCCTCCGCCAACTTTCTCTCTATTTATTGCCGTTTCATTTTCCATCCTCAGACCTTGACTATTGAACAGTCGGCAGTGTGCCTTGAATATCGATGGATCGTATCCATGGCTGACGTGAAAAAAATTTGTCTAATTCTCTTCATTAATAAATCGATGTCGAAGAGATTTAACTTTTTAATGATCGTAATGCACGAGGACGCACACTCAGATTTCCGAAATAGGAAATGGAGAACGCCATGACCATTCGAAGCAAGGTGAGTGCTAATCGTACAAATTGCGAAAGGACGTGCGGCTTTGTCGACTTCCCGCTCTTATCCTCTTCCTCTTCAACCGCTGGCCTTCCGGTTAGAAATTCATCGTTACTCGGTCTGGTCAGTGAGAGCTGTTCACCATCTTCCGACTTCTCGCGACCGTGGTCGTTCCAATTTATAGGCGCATTTGGCTACAGACACTTCCGGTTTTCTTCCAACTGTTCCAATGTACAACTTCTACAAGATTGCATATCACGAATTTAGGCACGAGAATGCCGCTATTTATCTTTCCTATTCTGCAAATTTCAAACTTTAATGCTACATAAATTCTTAACAATATAACATCGATAATTTAATTTTTCTTTTTAACATTACCGTAAATTGCATTTGTTAATACAATGGGATACTACGAAACGAGTATCGTCCTTAATGAACCTACTGATCCGATTACGTTCTTTACAATCGACTACAGGCAGACACCTCGAGAGTAGATTTATTGTATCCTCGTGAACGGTGAAACGAGAAAGGCGTAGTCGTAAGGATCGGTAACTTTCATCGACTACTATCGTCACGTGGTGTTGTCCACTTTCCGCGTGGATCCTTTCAGATGCAAAAG